TGTATATCTTTGCATTTTAGAATCTTTTCCAGTTCTTTCATAGCTACCTTTCCCATTCTTAATCTTCTGATTTCCTGAGTGCAGTCCCCATTTCTATCAAAGTTTGATCCCAGGTGTGGAAATTCTTTTACTATTTCTATTTCTTCATTGTCTAGGTTGAATGTGTGCAGGTCCTTGGTACAACCCCAAAAACTGAGGATTATAGTCCAAAAAAAGTGGCTTTCTGACACTACTAAATTCTGAGGGATAGTATTTCCCCCCCCCAAAAAAAATGCAATCTGCAGCATCCTAATGTGGCAGCAACAAGTTTGTTGAGAACCAAATTATTTTCTAGCATGTAGTGAGGTGCAGAGAGCAAAGGGCCAGCATGGGAACCATTCTTAAATAGTTGCTTGATGTTCTTGGCAGCCTAGCATTTGAAACCATATACTTTGGGAAAGCTTGCGTAATATGAAAAAAGATATCCAGTCCATATCTGTTTTCATATGCTACTAACACTATGATGGATAGGATTTATAAATTAAGGTCTTCTAAGATGTGAACAAGGTTTATCTTATATTGACAAAAGGCCTAGTAAACACTACAGGCACACCCAGCCATTAAGTTATTTTAGCCTTGAATTTGCACAGTTCTCTGGATCCAAAGAGCAGTCCATGTACTGGGCTTCTGTAACTTAAGATCTGGGCTTTCCAGAGTCTCACACTATTTAAAGGCACTGTGTAAAAGCCAGTACAAGCACACAGGTATGACTTCATAGCATTTTGAGCTGTCTTCTGTGTGTTCTGCTTGGCTAATAACTTCATAACTTATGCACCTCATTCTGACATCCAGATCTTCCCTTTCTTCATTCTCCCATTTGCTATGATTGTTTATATATTAAACATGAATTTGTTCAGTATTTTGTGTGCACATCATCAATGTAACACTAAGGATTTAAAAATGGTTGTATTAAAAAAAACTGTTTGTAATGTATGGGGGAAAATACGTAATGTGGGGGAAATAACAAAAAATAAATTTAAACTTTGCAGTTTTATTGTTCTGTGTCTTCAAGTCAACTGGAATTCATAACCATATCTTAGAGTTTTTCTGGCAAGATTTATTCAGAGAAGGTTTGCCATTGCCTACCTCTAAGGCTGAGGAAGTCTGGGTCTGCATGGCATAGTGGTTAGAGTGTTAGACCATGATTCTGGAGACCAGGTTTCGAATCCTCACTTGGCCATGAAAACCCACTGGGTGACCTTGAATGAGTCCCACTTTCTCAGCCTCAGAAGAAGGCAAAGGCAAACCCCCTCTGAACAAATCTTACCAACCAAACCCCATAAGAGCCTGTGGCCTACAAGTACAATAAGCTGGAAATGACTTGAAGGCACACAACAAAAACAAGGCTGAGAGAATATGACTTACTTGTGAATTTAGAATCATAGAGTTGGAAGAAACCACAAAGTCCATCTAGTCCAACTCCTTGTCATGCAGGAATACCCAATTAAAGCACTCCCAACAAATGACCATCCAACCTCTGTTTAAAAACTTCCAAACAAGGCGACTCACCACACTCTAAGGCAACGTATTCCACTGTTGAACAGCTCTTATTGTCAGGAAGTTCCTTCTAGGAGTTTATCACATGGGGGAAATTTGGAGTTTAAACAATGATTAACCTGTGAAAATCATGCAATTGACATTAAAACGTGTTTAAAACAACATTAATGAAAGTGCCATTATCCTGTGAAGAACCAGGGAATAACCAGGCAAGAAACAGCAAATTCATTCCATGAATGAGTTACTGTTGTTTCTTGCCTGATTTTTCACGGGATAATGGCACTTTAATCACATTTTGTCTCGATGTCAGGTGAAAACCATTCATGCAAATGCATGTAAGGGCCTCAGCAGACGGCTTAAAAAGCCGTCCTGGAGGCAGGGAAGAGGAGGGGCAGCCGCACGCTCAGCGCCCCTTCCTCCTCCTGAGGTTGCCCTCAGAGCAGCCGGCCCTCCGCACGGCTGGCGCTCTGAGGGCAACCTCCCACCGCAGCGTCCAGACACGCTGCAGCGGAAAAGTCAGTGAAAGTGCGCCGCAAGCTTTTGCGGCACACTTTCACTGACTTGTGATAGGAGCGCTATTTTAGCGCTCATTTCAGGGATGGGGAAGGTGCGCCGCAGGATCGAGGCGTGGGGATGCCTCAGTCCGGCGGTGCACCTTCCCAGGGCGGCCCCGTGCCGCCAGTCTGCTTCCCCCCTATGTGTGAGTTAAGCACGGATTCTACATGGGATAACAGCACTTTGCACACTGACATAGGGCCTTTGCAGACTGCCAGAAATAATGCAGCTTGAGGCCACTTTAACTGACCTGGCTCAGTGCTAAGGAATCATGGGAACTGTAGTTTATTGTGGCACCAGAGCTCTCTCACAGAGAAGGCTCAATGTCCCAGAAAAAATATACAGTTCCCATGATTCCCTAGCACTGAGCCAGGACAGTTAAAGTGCATTATTTCTGGCAGTCTGTAAAGGCCCATAGTGTGAAAACCATTGCACAATTGCGGGTTAAATATGGGTTAATCACCATCTATGCTTACAATTTCCCCCTGTGTTATAAACTCTCTAATGTTTAAGTGGAATCTCTTTTCCTATAGCTTGAATCCTGTAGTTTACATTGTTGGGTAGGGATTTGCATCCTGGTTTCTCAGAGTTTTAATCTAGCACTCAAACCACTAAACCATGCTGGCTCAGCAGTTTTACTGAAATAAATAAATAAATAAATAACCCTCTGATGATTCATGAACACATAATTGGAGACTGTATGAAGAATAAAAGATGATAGGAAAAAGATGAATAAGGAAGAAAATTACGGAGGTTTATAAAGCTGTGCATAAGGAGCAGAAAGTAGATAGAGACTATCCTCCCCCCCCCCCTTAATAGAAGGGACTTTTGATACTTGAGAATCAGTATATTTTAATATGTCCTCTTATCAAATATAAAGCTTTTAATACTTCCTTCAGAGGTCATGACCTCCTGATCAAACATCTGTCTGTGCAGAATTCTGACCACAGAGCAGAGTCAACCAATGTAGTTCTCTCCCCCTCTGTTATGAAATCCTCCCTCCTCATACACAATGCTGACTTCCGCTTCAGAGTCCTGTGATTAGTTTTATAACCCAGAGGGGAGAGATGTCTGCTGTGACCTTGAGTTCATAGAAAATGCAGGGAAATTAGGAAAAAGGAGGATGTAGGCCTGTGAAAGGAATTAATGAAAACCTGGCACCATGGTTCCATGAAGTCATTTCTCACCAGATATTTCTCTGAACCGCAGGTGTTTGCAGATATAGCAAAAATGCTCCCAGCCCCTTTTGCAAAGCTACCCTGCCTGTGCTTAAAGGGTTTTTTTCTTTTAAAAAATGGGGGAAGATGGAGTGTTCATTTAAAACACACACACACACACAAATAAATTCTAACTGCAACAACCATTTATCTAGTTTTTATAGCACATATCCTTGAAAAGGTATCTCAAGATGCATTAGCATGGACACTTTAATGCTGATACATTCTTTCATTGCTCCAGGATACAGTGCAGTTATTTCTAATTGGCAGTTGTCTTTTTTTAGGGCAGCATCCTGCATTCTCTCTCATTTAATACACAGAAACAGGATATTCCTCCACTACCTTTCTTTTAAGCATAGCACAAAAAGAACAGCAGTAATTCAAGCCACACTGAAGCAGGAGCTGCAACAGTACTTCTACAGTAGAACTGATATATTCCAGTACCTCAAATCTGGGCATAATTCTAATTAAGCCAAATATTCTAATTTGTTTTCCAATTATGCAAATTAGGGAAATTGCTTTTTGCATTCTCCCACTATGTTTCAAATTTCATGCCATTTTTAACAGTTATGACTGATCTGAGAGAACCAGTATAGAGTACATTTGGCCCTCTGTTTTCATGGGGGATCCATTCTGGATCCCCCATGAAAAGGCTTGAATGGGCGTGCCCCATTGATTTTAATGGAGGTTGCCCCTCCATGAATATTGAAAACTATGACCTCAAGTTCACAAGAACAGAGGGGTGATGTAATGCTTAAAATGCTGGATTTGGAACAGGAAGACCCAGGTTCAAATCTCTGCTGGGTCAGGGAATTAACCATGTGACTACAGGCCAACACTACTCAACCTATTTTATAAGTTTGCTATGGGGATTAACAGGGATAGGGAAACCATGTAAAGTGGGCATGCACATTCCTGGTGCAGTGTAAATAAAAGTGTTAAAGATGTAATCTTTCACGGATGAACTGGATAAGTTCATCACAATGGATTGAACTTTGTTATCTAATTTTACTTTTATATGCATTGATAAAACTATGGGGGGATGCAGACGAGGGCGTCGGAGATGCCCTGGTCCGGAC